AAAAAAAAAAAATATTATTCAATGTTGTATGAGGTAATTAGAAATTATTGATTGATTTGTAAGTATTTTTTACTCTTTTTTTTGTCCGGTAACAAATTTTATTTAAAATTTTTTTTGATACCACTAAAATTTTTTCCAATTATACTTTTCTTTCTGCAAAAATTCTTCATCCAATCTGAATTGAATTCAATTTCAAATTTTGAAATCATCGTAATTTCTATCTCTTGCTTAATATGAGATGGAAATTTATAATTTATACATTCAGTAAATTGTAGCTGAATGTATCGCTACATGCGTTAGCAATTTGCTAATTAAATGTATCGCTACATGCGGATAGCAATTTGCTAATTGGCAACTATACCTTCATGCATTAATTAACATATTTGACATGTAGCATTTGTAAATTTTAACGAAGCACTTCAAAAATTAAAATTATTAGTTATTAAACTATTATTAGTTATTAAACTTATTATTACATATGCATATATCTCATCACTCGGCTTTTCCGATTCCTTCCGTAATTGGGTACGGTAGAAAGGAGTAAGTGATAATTAATGAAATAAGAGGATAAGAGAAATTTTTTCTTTTTTGATGATATAAAATCAGTAAGATAAAAATGGATGAACTTAATTATCGACTGTAAAAATTTTCCGAAATCTTTTAATCTAACCTAAATCGTAATTTTTCGTTAAAAAAAAGTTGAATTTTGTAAAATGAAACTTTAATTCCTCTCTCTTTTCAGTGTATTCAACCAACCGTCGATATCAACAACTTCTAAATTATTGAATAGAAATAAAAAACTGAAATTATCAGTTCGTTACGGCTCATTACTGTCTTGCTAAAATCAAACGTTATAGCGATAATTAATTATTGATATTGGTGGTATTAAGTAATACGTTTGCAACAAATCCATACTATTAAGCCTAAAATGAGCAGTATCGGACGGGTTCGAAATCGACGACCATCAATAGTCGAATGGACACAGCATATGGTTAGTTTTAATTTACAATGATTAAAATTTAATTATTTTTTAAAAATTCTCAGGCAAATTATTTGACTATGTAAATATTTCAAGAATTTTGAATAGAAATGAAAAAAAAATCATATAACTCTTATCATTTGCAGAGTTTTTTTTTTTTCAGTTGTTAGAATCAATGATATTATTGATAAAATACTTTACATACCAAACAATTAATGAAATCACCTTCATTGTTTCAATCCAATTTATTACCCATTTTAATTTTACTTCCTAATTCAGTCATTTAAATTTGATTTTTTTTTTTTGTCCTTCCAAATTCATTTGGCAGATATTTTGAATTGAACGGAATTAAACAATAAATCTACTATAAAAAAAAAACACCTAAAGAGTTGTTGAAAATTTCAAGGGATCACGAAATTTTTAATGGGATGTTAATCGAATGGTCGACATGATTCATCGATTAAATGCCATTAATTTTAAAAAAAAAAAACCTTTACAAAGAAAAAATAATGAAACCGATTTGCACGTCACAAAAATTTGCAAACAAAAAAAAAAAATTCATTTTATAATTCTTAAAGTTTCCATGATCAGATTTCACTAGATTATAAAAAATTGAACAAAATAAAATTCAATCATTTATTTGTTAAAAAATAAGAAAAGATGAAGGAAATGAGTGGAGAAATTATTATCCATTAGCAATAAACAATAACAATGCTTGATTTATTGCTGTCTGGAGTTTAAAGGTCATATATATATATCCCGAATATTTTGCAAAAAATTAGTAACCGATAAAATGTACCATATAAAATTTTTTTGCATAATTAAGACAAACACTAATCTATGATTATAAATTATATCTTGACTAATTTAAGTTTAAAATTTATTGCATCATCTTAATTGATTGATTGATTATTTAACTATGCTTATCTTTGACCTTTTTCATACGATATGCTTTAAATGGCATAAATAAAAAAACGATTTTCTTTCATCTTTTTTTTTGTGCTTACAAATTCAAATGCAAGTATACATTTTACATTGTAATATTAAGCAATCGCATTTGATCATTAATTGCATCAGAACAAATATTGCATGGCACATTCAAATCTCCTTTCTAATATTTTTAAATTTAAGCCTTAATGAAAATTTTCCTTGTCCTGAAGACAAGAAAAATGAAAAGTACCAAAAGGTTACAAAGCTTACTTTCATGCGCCTACATCCATTTTGCATGCTTATTTGTTTATTTTTCTCATTTATAATTCTTGTCAAGATAAATTTTAAAATTGTCCGCAAATTAATCTTTTTCAAATTTTTTCAGTTTTATTTTTTATCCTTAAACTTCTCACATGTATTTCAAGGTATTATTCAATTTTGAAGATTTCACTTTCA